TGGAAGATTATAGTGGAACTGCTGCGAGGATGATCGCTGCAGGATCTGGACATGTGGTTAAGGGGATCTTGTGGTGTGGGGATGTGACCATGGACAGGTTGGAATGGGGGAATCAGGTTATGAAAAAGAAGATCACTCCTGGTTCCAATGCTGAGGTTAGTCCTCAGACCTTGAAGCGGATTAAGAGGTGGGCTATTAGTTATGCATAATCTTGTTATTGTTGATGTCATTGTGATTTCTGTGCTTAATTCTACATGGGCAGTAGTGTGACAGATTTTTCGGGTTAATTTTGTTAAAATTTGGTAATTTACTTTTGAATTTCTGGAATTTGATTAAATGTATTGTTAGGATTTATTTGTTATAAAGATTTTACATTATCAACAACTAGGAGTTTAATTTATATACATTGGTCGTATACACCTTGACGTCATCATTTGAGTCACCTTCTCACTATGGTTGTAAGGAAGTTGTGCTAAAAAGTTTGTAATTGAAGCAACCTGAAATCTTTTATACTATTGGTTAATAATTAGAATTCGCTTTCGATTACACTTTAAATACAGAGACTAAGTTTTTCGATGGAGTATATGTCCAATATAGTGGGATGATTGTGTAAAAAAGCCTTTTACATTTTTTATGTATTACCAATTAAATGTTAATTTACCGATGGTGGTGAAATTTTTTATTATAGAATGGTCTGCCTCATATGTTACTATTTGTTAAGAATTCTTATTTTAAGTACTTGGTTTTGCAATTAGCTTCAAATGTATGGTAATCGTCTGTGCCCAGAATGTGCCATGATTTAATTTTATGCATTTCTGTGGTAATTGTTTTAAGATTTCAACTAATTAGAAATCACCATTGAATTTTCACACTCTTTATATAATCAACAAACCTGTTACGTGCTGCTAATGTGTTTTACTAAAAATGGTAATAATTATTTACCAACAATTAGCTCTGCCAGTATATTTCTGTCATGTCTATACAAATGTTTTATTAATGGGAAGATAGAATCACTTTTTTTTATTTTGTTTTAGTTAGTATCTCTTTTGTGTTATCAGTTAAGTGATCATTAATTGACAATTTCGACCTTTGGTTTGATATGCGTTTCTTTACAGGGTTAGAGAGTTACTAAAATGACAGAGAAAGTAGCAAATGGTTTCCTCTCTGGGGTCGTGAAAGTGTCTGATTTTATCACCGGTTCCGTGGTAAACTCAAAAGCTGGAAGAAATTTTCAGCTTTCTACCGGGGGAAGTTCTACTTGCATCGTTGGGGATTCAGTATGTCAGCTATATTATCCTACTGAATGCTTGCGGTCCTCGTTTTAACCAATAGTTTTTTAACTCTTCAAATAAAATGACAGGAGTTGGATAACCCAGTTGATTGTGATTTGACGCGACAATTGTTTAGGTGGGTTGTTGGTATTTAACAGACTTTCAGACGACTTTGAATTTTGTGACGCATGAATGAATAAACTGTGGGTTCGTATCATTCACTGGTGATATTGTCTTATTATCACTCAATGGGGTGGGGTGTTAACTTGAAAATTTAGCACAAGGTAATTCCTAGAATTTGAACCTTTGCAATTTGTGGGGTTAAAGTTTGGTCCTAAATCCAAATTCTAAGGAAAATATCGGCTTACCTTACTCAAATGATTTTATGTGTTTAATATATTTTTGTTGATCATTGTTTCAAGAATTAGAATCTGTCCAGATGAAAACATGCGAATTTTATGCTTATACCAGAGTGGTTGGCATTGTCTAGTGTAGTAAGTATTCCGTTGTGTGTATCTAGAGTGAGTGGGCTGTATTAAACTACTTTTAGTCTATAATGTAATGATCTATTGTGATACATGTGTGCGAAAAATTATAATTTCAGATTCAGTATTATTCTTTGTTCTCTTTCCCTTTTCAACTCTGTTTTTTTGGTGTGTTTAGTGTGGTTCAAAACCTTTAATTAGTTTGTTTATTTTTTGTTTCAATGTTCACAACATATAAGAATTTGTTTGGTTTGATAGAACATTTTCAGTTTTCATTTCTTGTTTTCCTTTTCCAAAATAATTAAAGAAATGGCATCTTGTTTTTAAAACGTATGCATGAACTGTTAAAAACACATTTGCCCGTTTTGTGATTTTCCGTACAAATTCTCCGAACTGAAATGAGTAACATGTGAAATTTTTAATTATTTATGAAAACTTAGTAGACATAGAAAATGTTCTCTAAAACATATAGGTTAAAAGTTTCTTAATAGAAATTAGATGTATCGGATGGTTAACTGTGTCAATTTTCCGCCTGCTGCTACCATCTATTTGGTCTGGTTGTAACGCAGATTTTTTATCAACCTTTACCACCACCCCAGTTACTATTGTATGCTGAAAAAAAAAATTCAAGGTAATGATTATTATCGTAATTGTTGTTTTTGTTCTATTCACTTCAATAATTCGGAGTTGGATAGGATTGAAGAACATTTGTGAAGACGGGGTACATGTGTAGAAATTGGGTATGGTGATGTAGTGATGTGTGGCATTGTATTTTCACACGGGGAGTTCCTGTGTATGTGATTTGTCGCTCCTTTTTCCCTCAGTAAAGTTATCGTCTTCAATAATAGCCTCCTTCCTGTGTGGAGATACATTCGTAGTGTTTCTTTTGAGTTTGATCTGCGAGTCTGAGTTTCTTGAATCAGTGTGCAAGTTATATGCTGTTTGATATGACTGTGTAGGGATTTGAGTTTTAGGGTGCTTAAGTCCCCCATTAGGTAATATGAGTCTTGGTGGAGTATTTAGTGTTTTGTTCGTTCTTCTTGATAGTCGTTTTGGTGGACTCGGCAAGTGTTTCAGTGCTTAAATGTTTGTGTCCAATTTAGCAACTCCGGTGATTTACCTCTCATCCGATCTCCTTGATTCGTCATGTAATTTGTTAGGACCTCCCCATCTTGGTCCATGTAAATTTTTAGTCAGTTAATTTATGATCAACCCCCTAATTTGAACTGTTTTAGATTGGCAAAACATTATTTCGTTGGTTTTTTATCGTTTACCTAGCTAGTTATACCTAATAGGCTGTTGTCCAGTAAGTTTGAATTTCTTAATTTGCATACCCTCTTAAGCTTCAAATTTCTGTATAGGTTAAAGTGTGTGATGCTGTGAAGTGGCTGGAAAGAATGTTATGTCAACGTCATCGACTGTGACAACCGAGCTTGTGAATCACAGGTAAAGCTTGATGTATGCAATCTAGAGTGTAATACCTATGCATTAGGGAATGAGTCTGGTGATGATTATATATTTACTTCTTAAACTATTGATCATATCTCTTGATGTGATTGTGTGCTTAACTCATGATACTATGGGAGACTACCGGCATACAAGTACTTTTGCACTGGTCTTAAATACCCACTACCTACCAAGAGTCTAGATTCGCATACTTGGGTGTGAATTATTTGTTCCAGGATACATCACCACAAAATGAGGAGATCTGACTTCTCTAGTATATAATATCCCAATGATTCCATCCAAACTGCGGACTCTAGTAAGAGAGTTACAATTATTAAATTGGAAGTATTAGCATGTAATATCTTGAAATCCTAAATCTTTCAATACTTTATTCCTTGGGTGATTAGGAATTAGTAATGTACATCGTGTTCGTTTCTTAACCTTTGCTCTTAAGGGCAAGTAATCTAAATTCTATTTATTTGAATGATTTTGTTCAATGTGCTCTGAAATGCTATTATTGGATATCACGTAGAGGATGTGTTAGTAAACATTAAAAGCTAGTTACACTTTTAAATAATATTCAATTTGATCCCTTAACCATAGCCTTTAGGAAACTGTATCATTTTTTACGACATACTTTCATAATATAAGCATAAAATATAGCACGAGTGGGATGCCATCATGCTTCTCTAACAAATCAGAAGTGCATTTGGCAATCTGTATGTATACTGCAGGTATGGAGAACAAGCAGCTGAAGCGACGAGTGAAGGCTTTACTGCTGCTGGCCATGCTTTGGGTACTGCCTGGGCTGCCTTTAAGATCAGGAAGGCTATCAACCCTAAGAGTGTTTTTAAACCTACATCCATCGCCAAAGCTGGTGCTAAAGCTGCAGCTTCTGAATTTAAGGGTAAAAGTTCCAAGTAATTTATGCCTGGACCTCTTCAATTTAGGCTGTCCATCCTACTATCAGAAACTGCCACTTTGGCTTTTCATTTCCCAACATCAACGCGTGATTTGTTGTTGTTGATGTTATCCTTCCTGTTTTCACTGTGTGAATGGGATTTGGATCCTCTCTTTTTTCTATAATTTAGAGAAAGATAGTTACCATGTGAGAACCCACCATGATTTGTCATGAGATCCACTAGTTTTATTGAAAAAAAAAGAAGAAAAATCTCTCTTTAAGAAGACCATATATCGATACTGGAGAGCATGGTATGATCCAAAGATATATACTTGATGTACCTGTATAGCAACTGTATTTATGGCGTGGGCTGCAAGAACTTCAAATACATATGGGGATGAATGTTCGAAATTAAAATAGCCTTTTACTTCTGGTCTCCGTGAAATGTGTTTCATTGTTCGAAACAGTTGTTTGAAAAGTGAGATTGTACATATCTGCAGGCGATTGGAAGGTTTCAAAGACTAGTTCTTCAGATAAGCTGCCATGATAACGGTACTATTCATGGTGACTTGGGTTAGTTATACATAGTTTTCTTCTGACATTAATTTTGTGGATCAACCGATCATAGAATGAGACATGCGATATATATTTTATCACTTCACATGCTACTCACAAGCTTCTCACTGGTTTTTTCCTAACACCGTCGGCTTATTGTACAAAAACAAGGTCTCCTAGCTCTCAAGCAACATTCCTTTTCAAAGTCGAACTAACAACACAGCTCATCTGAATAACAGTTGAGCAAAACACCTAAAGTAGAAAAACTACGGATGGCAGAACAACACTAAAATACTGGCAAGCAAAACCAAATTGACCTATAAAAAAAATAGGGATCGGTAGTGGTTCAAAAACAGAGGGTAACCATACAGGAATGTTAAAAGTTACAACCAGTTGAAATCACCAAATGATTGACAAACAGTAGGATTGAATGGTACTGAAAATATAAAACACCGCACAATACAAGCTTTCATATTAATGGTGAAAATGGTACTCAAAATAGTAGCCAAAAGTTGAACAAAAACTATCAAAGAAACAAAATTTGAAAATTTGTAATTAAGCATATCTTTAACAATCTCCTTAAGTAGTCTTGTCAGCTTTAGAAGCAGTGGCGGCAGCTTGCCCCCTAAGACGACCAGTTCTCCTGGCGGCAATGAGACCAACCTTCTGGCCAGGAGGAGCATCACGTCTGACAGTACTAGCATGCCCAATGTGCTGGTGGTTACCTCCTCCGTGAGGATGCTCAACTGGGTTCATAGCCACACCACGCACCTTAGGCCAGCAGTTCCTCTTAACTCTAAACTTGTGGTAAGCATTACCAGCCTTAAGAAGAGGCTTCTCAGTTCTCCCTCCACCCGCAACTTGCCCAATCATTGCCCTACATGCACTCGGCACAATCTTCTTCGCTCCAGAAGGAAGCTTGATCCTGCCAAAAGAGTGCAAAGATGCATTCAAACGCTTGCACATTTGTCCAGAGAGTAAACTTCCACCTTACAAACTACTCTAAAAAGATAAAAATATAGAACATAGTTCATATATCTGCCGAATTATCAACTCCTAATTTGGCATTGCGAATATAACATGCTTTACAACAAGAACCTGATAGGCCGTTAACCATCTTCGTAATATAGAACAAAAAATAACTAAAAAAGAAACCATTTGATCTATTACCTAATTTGTGCAAATTCAATAAATTAACATCACTAAAATCTAATTATCCATAACCTAACCATAACTCATGGACAAGTTTACTTCATTTTTTTTCGTATTTGATAATACAAATACTATTTTCTGTTACAAATACAGTCAATCGATGGAAGTCATCCAAACAGGGCACCTAATTATATCTCACTTTACTCTCAACTTATTCATCCAGAATCCCTAACTAAATGCCGAGCTTTCAGTTCCCTAATTTCCTACAATATTAACAAATATAATTCACTTTAGTTAACAGTAAAAGAAAATAAAACACCACGCAAACCAATAGACGCACGCCTCAAACACGAATTTTGAATCACAAACAATCAAACAAATCCAAAAACAGTAATCCGGAGTAAAATAAAAAGACACGAGTGGTAACCTAGATGTGTCGTTATCCGGGTTGTGGCTGATAACAATGGCGTAGTCACCGGAGGCCCTGGCGAAGACGCCACGGTCGCCGACATGGTGTTCAACGTTGCAGATGACGGCACCCTCGGGGATAGATCGGAGGGGCAAGACGTTGCCAACAACGAGGGTGGCCTTCTTGCCGCAGTAGAGGAACTGCCCAGTGTAGAGACCTTCCGCGGCGACGAAGAGTTCCGTCTGCTTCTTGTAGCGGAAGGGATGGCGGAATGTAACCTTGGCAAGTGGAGCGCCACGACCGGGATCGTGGATAATGTCGGTGACCACTCCCTTCAGGTAGCCGTTGCGTTCGCCGAAATCGAGGCTGCGAAACCTCGCCGGACCATTGCGGTGGTGGGTGTGGGACTTGAAAACAGACCCCGCACCCTTACGCTGGGCGCGAATTACCCTTCCCATTCCGATTCACCTGTGTGTGTATCCGCCGCGCAGATGGAAGAAGGATGGATGGGGAAGCTAGGGTTTTGGCTATGCGAGTAATATATAGCTGACGCGCCTACGTAGATTGAAATTTAGTAACTTAGGTTTATAGATTTCAGGGAATGCAGGAAAACAAAAGGAGGTGCATGAAGAAGCAGCCTAGAAACTTTTAAAATCGGGGCCAAATCACAAGAGCCCAATAACTGCCTAAATGGGCTTTAAAGGAATGGTATTGTTAGCTTTCTGCGCCCCAATCAGTTATTGACTATTATTATCTGCACCTTCATAATTTCTTCTCACACTTCTAAGACTGTGAGACACCACCGTTGCCGTATACGCGAGCGTCGCCGAAGAGATCCAATGGCCGCTGGCGAAGGATGAAGCCGGCGTGAAAGTCGATGGTTCGCCGTACTTTTCTTTCCGATTTCCAAGGGCTCTGATCCCGAGTAGGTGGAAGAGAATGTGCTTACTTAGCTATGGATTAACGATCGCGTTGAAGGAGTATGAGGGGCTTCTGAAGGAGCTTGACGCCGTTTTGGAGAGCTGCAGCTGCTTATCTGTGTAGAGGATTACGGGGAATGCAAAGAAGAAAGGGGAGGCTCTGGATGGGAGCGTGGTGAAGGAGGTTTCGGGTTAATCTTGTTAAAATTCGTAATTTACTTTTGAATTCCCAGAATTTGATTGAATGTATTATTAAGGTTAATTTGATACAGAGGTTTTACATTATCAACCACATGAAATTTTGTAAAACTCTTGAAATTTTATAAAACTTAAAAGTAAAACATTTTAGAAGTTGCGATACTCTAAAATTAAATTATTTTAATATTAAATAATTTATTTATAAATAATTTTGTTATAAACAAATTTTAAAATATACTATTTTTTTATAAAATTTTCTGTTTTCTCTCTACATCTAACTAGTTGTATTAGAAAAATAATCTCTCTCTATTTAGACCAGAACTCAATATTGGAGAGCATGTTGGGATCCAAATATATATATATATATATGTATGATGTGCCTGTGTATAGGAAGTGTATCTATGGTGTGGGCTGCAAGGACTTCAAATATATGTGGTGATGAATGTTGGAAATTAAAATAAGGTTTTAGTTGTGGTGTCCGTGAAGTGTGTTCATTGTTGGCAGCAGTTGTTTGGGAAGTGCGATTGTAATCACATATCACTTTCACTCTTTGTGGACTGTGCCACTTAGGTACAGACAAATTTTAAATGTGTGTAGGTAATTGGAAGTTTTTAAAGACTCAGTGCTTGAGGAAAAGCTGCCATGATAAGTTCTCTTATGACGTTACTTTTGTGGATCAATCCATCAATAGAATGAGATACACGTTATATATTTTTTCCTTTTACATGCTACTCACAAGCTACTCACTGGTTCTTTCCTAACACCGTCGGCTTATCTGCTGACATTTCACCACTTCTCGGTGGCTGACAATATTAATTGTCAAACCATTAGTTCCAGGGACTAACGAACGAGATTCAGCCAACTTTTCTGTGTTGAAAACGAACCCATATACAATATCTTAATTCTAATTGTTGTATGTACTCTCTTTTTCTTTCATTTATTGGTAAATGTTAGTGGTTAACTTTCTCATTTTCTTTATCAAAATCCTTTAACTCACAACCTTTCTCATTTTCTTTATCAAAATCCTTTAAACTAACTTTATCTCTTAAATGTTAGGGAAAGAATTGAATCTACAACTTCGCTCGTCTTTCCTTTTAACTTTTTATCATTAGGTCAATCTTATAGGTCTTATGTCTACTTTATTTAAAATGGAGTGAAAGTTATATATCCTCTATTTTAAATAATCTTACATTATTATTTAGATTCTTGAAGTTATATGCAATATTTTATTGGAAATTTTCAAAATATCGAACTGAGAGGTTATGTTATTAATCTTTTAAAACATTATATTATCTATTTAAAAACTTATTGTTCAAGAGAGGACCATACCATAACCATAGTGGTAGACATTATTTCAATCTATAATTAAGAATTACATTATAATGATACGGAGATTAATACAAAAAATAGTATGTCTTAAACATCTCTAAACTAGACCTAGTTTATTTGACATAAGTTCACTTAGGTAAAAATCCATGAAAATGATATAAAAGAGACATTCTTCATGAAGTAAGGTAGATTTGTTTATTACAACATTTATTTTACTTCATAAAAATTATTGACTTGAGCTTACAATGTCTTTGCAAGCACCCACCTCAATATCTTGGCTAAAGAAAAGGTGATCATCTCAAACAAAAAAGGGAAAAAAGAGCAAAAAGAGAATTTTGTAAAGACACCTAGAATCTATGGTCAAGAAATATGGTGAATAGTTTAGCATCTATATGGTTTATCACATGGAAAATGAATTTACTACACTAAAACTATTTTAAGAGTTTAATAATGTTAAAAGGTTGTTTTTGTTATAAAAAAAATGTGACTCACAAATAATTCAACTCTTCGATTCACTGTAGTTATTTTCATTGAATATTGACAACCTTTAAGTGTAAATAGAACATTGGACCGAGTACAAATAATAAAAGTTGAAGATAAAATATCAAGAGACCCAAAATAAAATATACTTGATCTATCTCTATCTTATATTAACAAAATAAAATAAAATAATATTGCACCTAAATAAATGAAAAATCAAAACTACCAATCTATATTTAATTTCTATCGAAATCAAACTAAATATTACTATACCCAAATTAATAAAATAAGATTTAAACAAAATTATTAATAACCTCTGAAATTTAAGTTTATCCCAACAGTTTTAACTATAATTCTTTTCTTAGTGGATGAATTTGGTAGCAATTAAAAAAATATTATAGATATTTGATATATCACTTTTAGTAAAAGGATGAAGTAATACATGTTGTGTATGATGAAAATATGTATTTAGTAAAATCTTACATCTTCTAGAATAAGAAATCTTAAGATAAGCAAATGAGTGGATGTTGGTGACTATATAATCGATTATATGTCCATGATGTTTCTTGCCCCAAGTTTAAGACACTTTGAGCTAGTGTTTGACTTTTCTTATACTTTTGTAGTAGAGTGTTATGAGGTGTAGTTAATTTTTTTCTCTAGAGAGTGTGGGTGTACTTGGGGTCAAAGAGTGGTCTATGTGTTGTATAAATTTTCACAATGTTATTCTTTAGTTGTCTTTAGACAACGTTCATGATTTTTCTCTAGATTTGGCGTTCCACATTATATTATTTGTGTATTCTTGTGTTTATATGTTAGTAGGATGATTCTCAAAGGTAAAGACAATGCATTTCTTTTCCAATAAGTGGTATCAGAGCTTATGATTCAGTAGGATTTTTGTAGTATGTCCTATGATTATAGCTTAGTCTGATCTTTAACATCGAAAAAGATGAATCCTTGTTACTAGAGTATCATCGTTGTTTGTTGAAATCGCAATGAGAAATTTGATGGAAGGATCACTGTCAGTGTTATATTGGCGCGGTGAATCATGTACGATGTGTAGTGGAGTTCACATTTATAGTGAGATGCTCCTAGACTGCAGAGGAAATCACAGTTGGTGTTCGTTCATGGAAGATTGTACTGTGTTGGCGCATTTCGAATCTATTTTTCACGATGGAGATTTGATTTTGTGTGAGTTACGATTTACAAATCTGCTCTGGTTGTTCGTGCAACTCGTGGATTTGGACTCGAGATTTGTGTTGTTGAATAAAGACACAATGGGTGTGGATCTGGGTTTTGAGTTCGCGAATCTGGTTGTTGTGTGGAGGAACCATAAGCTTGCATGATGGAAAGTGTTGTGGTTATGCATTTTTCAGCAAGGTCGAACCGTGGAGCTCACAGTGGTTGGAGATGTAGGTCATGGAGTTCAAACGATGATAGTGAAGCTTCGATGATAATCATAATCTATAAGATTATGTTCTTTTGGAAGAAAGGATCTGAGGGAGATGGAAAGGATGAATTTGGATGGATTTGAAGGTGAAATTTTGTGTCTTTTAAAGGATTTGAAGTTGATGGTGGAATGAATCTGGGAATAAAGTTTATGAAAATTTGTGAAAGATTTAACTTATATGATAAATTAAATGATTTTTTAATAAATTAAAAAGTAAACTCCTAAATTTCCCTTTATGTTAAAAGTAATATAAAATGATATTTAAATGAGTTAAAATTATTTTCTCTTTTTTTTAAATGAATAAATTTTTTATGTAAAAAGTATTAATTGAAATAAATAAAGAATACAATATATATTTGTTCAACTTGTCCAACACTTCTTGCAACAAAACTCATTTTTTTTATTACAAACCAAAGCTTTGGAATCGGTTCCAAGCATGAGAGAATAAATTACAATACCATGGAATAAGTTCCAAACAAAAGAGAACATATTTGTAATCGGTTCCAAGTTTTCCAAAATCCGGTTCTAAGTTTTCTAGATCCGATTCCAAGTTTTCTATATCAAGTTCCAAGTTTTCTAGATCAAGTTCCAAGTTTTCCATATTTGTTCTAAGTTTTCACATATCCGATTAAAAGTCTTTACAAATCCTACATTAACCCCTACTATGGATTCTTAAAAACGAGCTTGCTTGTCAAGCTTCTCCTATGTTTTCAAGCTTAACTACACTTCTTAAAATATTTTACCAAAAACCATGAACATGAACCATGCACACACACTTGCCACACTAATTTTGAAGTGAGGAATCTCTCCTGTATTCTTTAGGAATCTCACATGTGCATGTGAAAATAACAATGGTGGTGCATATGAAAAAATAATAGTGAAAATTAAGCAACCTAAAAAAACAGTGGACACATGAAAATAAAGTAAGGATATTTACATTAAAACGATATATTCACTCGTAAATCACTTTGTGGTAGCGAAGTGCAAAATTCTTATGTATCTCGCAAATCATCGCTTTCTCATCTCTGAAAATAACAAAAAAAACATTCAAATCATCACTTCCTCTTCTCCCTCAATAATAATCACCTCCAAAAGAACACCGCGTAAGGGTCTCATCATAGTGGTTGTTGCTTGTTCATCCAATATGCCTCACATTAGCTTATGTGGGTCATAAA